TCCAAAGGTCTTATCAAATCTTCCAAAAAAACTTACAAAAATGAAAACAAATACAAAAATTATAAAAACCTATTTGAAAAAATATAAAAACAAGCAAAAAAAAATTATTATTCTAATTTATTGCAAAACAATATTGGAAATAACAAAAAAACATGGGATGTTATAAATGAAATAATAGAAAAAAAAAAGATTGAGTCTGGTAATACACTGCCTAAACGTTTAAATACTAATGATAAAAACATATTTATCCGTGATAAAAAAGAAATTGCTGAAAGCTTTAACAATTATTTTATAAACATTGGAAAGACGTTAGCAAATAAAATAACTCCAAGTAAAAAACTTTTTAAATCATACTTAAAAAAAGTAGACTTTACAATGGATGAGTATGACTTATCTCCTGATGAGCTTTGGAATGCTTTTGAAACCATACAGTCCAGAAAAAGTCCTGGTCTTGATGACATAGACTCTAAAGTTGTGAAAAATGTTTATGACGTTATTCAGTATCCCCTAATGAATATTTTTAATCTCTCATTAAAAAATGGAGTTTTTCCTGACCGCCTAAAATTAGCACGCGTAGTTCCAGTATTTAAAAGCGGAGATGACTCGACTTTATCTAACTATAGACCCATCTCCATACTCCCATGCTTTTTAAAAATGCTTTCTATACCCACTCTAACATTACTACACTTTTTAATACAGTAAATCAGGAACTTGAAGAGTTGAGCGATTGGTTTAAAGCAAACAAACTTTCTGTCAACATTGAGAAAAGTAATTATATATTTTTCACAAAACCTTACAATTCAGACAAACTACCATTAAAACTTCCAGATATTCTATTAGACAAAGTTAGACTTTTTAAATCGAGCGTTCTCAGTTAAATTTCTCGGGGTAATATTAGATGAACATATTAGCTGGAAAGACCACATTAATATATTAAAAAACAAAATATCTAAAAACATTGGAATTATGCATAAAACCAGATATATTTTAAATAATGCATGCCTTAAAAGTTTTTATTTTGCATATATACATAGCTATATTAACTACTGCAATATTACCTGGGCTAATACCTACCAATCTAGATTTAATATATAAAATACAAAAACAAGCGTGTCGTATATTAACAAACGCAAATAAAAATGCCAATTCTAAACATTTAATGAGGGAACTGAGAGTTCTTAATATCTACGAACAAAATATATATTGCATACTTCAGTTCATGTTTAAACTTAAAAATGATCTGGTCCCTGAAGTCTTTCATAACGATTTTCACCTTATTAATCACAAATATCAAACAAAATACTCTATCAAAAACTACTATATTCCGAAAACCTCTTTAAGACAATCTAAATTCTCAATATCCAGCAGAGGACCCCAATTGTGGAACTCAATTCTAACAAACAAAATAAAAACAATAAACTCATTCCAACATTTTAAATGCGTTGTAAAGCAACAGCTACTAGACCTCAACATTAATGAATCTCTTATTTTTAAATGCGTTGTAAAGCAACAGCTACTAGACCTCAACATTAATGAATCTCTTATTTTTAACTCTTATATTTAAGATTGTTTTTCAATTTTTTTTTCTTTCACTTTTTCTTGAAATTCTTTTATATTACTTGCTTGGTTATTTAATGAAGTTCATTGTAAAAAAAAAAAAAAAAAAAAAAAAAAAAAAAAAAAAAAAAAAAACATGTATTATAAATATTGTATTTGGTTTATATTTTATTATATTTTATCAACGACAAAAATGGGGCAAGATGATAAGACTATTGTCTTCTTCTTGCTCTAGTCATATATTTCACGGTAAAATGTTATACAAATTTATATTAATAATGACGAAATATATATATATATATATAATATAATAATAAATAGCCTTAAGAGATATTCAGCGTAAATTAGGTGTAAAATGTAAAATATAGCGGTTTTGAACCATGTTTTTTAGACAACGAAAAGTGTAGCCATGTTTATCTTTTACTTTTAATGTAAAAATCTACCCGGAGTAACAAAAAAGTAAAAAAAAATATGTCTCTTAAATTAATGTGGCTAAAATTGCCCCTTAAAGTAGCAATTGCACTCCATGCTCTAATATTTTCATAAAATGGACCAAATTTTTGGACCTAAAATCTATAATTTTCAAAACAATTGACTAGTAGCCTAATTTCATTGTTATCAACAAAATATCTGAAAATAAAGACAATTTGAAGAGGTGTTTTTCAGAAATTGACTAATTTGTCAATATTTCTCAGGCAACGGTTTGTTGTATATAACAATGGTAAGAAATTATATAAGAAAGATCAATCATCCAAAATAGGATGAAATGCAGTTTCAGTTGTGAACAAAAAAGAACTTTGACTTCGAAAAGCTGCTGATACATATGATATATTTAAATTTACTCTACATTGGCATATCATGGTAATAAGCCAGCTCATCAATGTTACCAAATAATATATTTATTGTTTGGTAAAATTTTTTAATATTTTTTGCGTGATTTATGTGATCCATAATATTTTTTGTTTAATTAAAAATTTAGAAGTAGTTACCAATTTAATAATATATACTAACAGTGGCGGCACGAGCATTTTTTGGTCTTTGTGATAGCTAACTTCCAGACATGGAGCAAACTCCAAACGTTTATAAGTTTATTAGTTAATTCTAAGTTTCATAGTATGATCTCAGCGTTCAAAAATTATGACCATACAAAATTTGCAGTCCCCTCAAATTGAGGGGGGTTTAAACATTATATGGTCATAATTTTTGAACGCTGAGAGATAATACTATAAAACTTAAAATTTTTCGATAAATAAAAGTCTAGTTGAAAATAGTACAAAAACTATTTCATCAACTTGTTGCTCTCACGTTTGGAGCAGTGTCGGCAAAATTTTTGGCGTTGTTTGTTCCCAGGATCCAATCATCGTAATTTTTTGCAAAGCATCCTTATTTTACATAAGTATAAACTTATTAATGTTTGGAGTTTGCTCCATGTCTGAAAGTTAGCTCTCTCAAAGACCAAAAAATGCTGGCGCCGCCACTGTATACTAGTTTTTTCCTACTTAAATTTTATGACAATTTCATAAGTTTGTTTGTTTAAGAGTATTTTATAAAGAAACTCGAAAAGTTTTTTTTTATTTTAGTTGTTATTCCTTTTTTTGTGGTATATGGGTGTATGAGCTTGTAATTTGTATAGGTATGTTACTTTTTAAAGATTTTTATGTATGAACATGTTTAAATTATAAAATACATTCATTTTTAATCACTTTTAAAGCTTTACAATTAAAGAATAACTGCTGCTTTTTAACTGTCCCGCTTTGCCCCACCCACTTACATAATGTAGAAATTTTGATGGTCTAAAGTTTCGTTACTTTAGTTCATAGCTTATTTTTAGGAATTTATTTTTTTGTTTTTTCCGTTTTTTTATATCAATGAATTTTAGAAAACTTATAAAAAAAAACAGTGTCAACTACGATTAGTTTATCCGCAACTAGCATTTGTTTCTTAATTGTTCCTATATGCCCCGCTCTATTTTATGTGTTATTCATATTTGCTCGTAGATAACAGTTTTCGTTTATATCAAAATTGTTTGCAGGAGATTTTTTTGCATAGATAAATGAAAAATAAATGCTGTAGATATTAATTTCAAACACAAATTAGTCTAAAGTATATTAGTTTGAGACCATGTATATTGACGTATTAAAAATACATCATTTTTGACCCGATATATTTTATATAAGAAAAACAGGATAAAGAGTTAAAGTTAGAACAAAAACAATAAAAACTGCAAATTTTAATTATAATAGTTATAATGATAAAAAGTGTTGCAAAACTTTATAAATTTTTTAACGTCGTTATGGTCATTGTGTCAATTTTTGTAAAACACCTGATCCTGGATTATATTTGATCTGTATTATCAACAGTCAAGTCTCCATTCTTACTTCACACTACTTGTTTCAGAATTCTCCAAAAATTCTCAAAAAAAAAAAGAGCTTTTGGTACATTTGATACTCATCTCTTGTAAATTTGACAATTTATAATATATAATTTATGTTAGTTTGACAATTATCTATAAAAGGTATAAGATTGGATGTTAAAGGATTGGACAAAGGAAGCAATTGTTTTAAATTTTTATATAAAAGTATTAGGAAATCATATGCAAAGTTAAAGAATGGAGTCTCTACTGGTCCTGAAATTAGAATTCTTATAAAACATAACGGTTCTCCTGGCACGATGACAGATTTACAGTGTGCAACTTGGTTAAACTTTTATGCTGTAACTAGACACGTCCTCGGAAAGAACGTAACACAAGACTGAAAACAAAAAGTAGACCTATTAATGTCTGGCTTTCAATCTATGGGTTGTCCAACTGTAAGCAATAAAATGCACCTATTATTTAAGCTTAAGGACAATAATGAGCGATATTTTGGATTTTTTTCAGACGAATATGGGGAAGACTACACAAAGATATGCAAGTCATCAAAAAGCGTTTTGGTAATTTTTTAAAAAATATTTTCTCTAATTTTTAAATATTTATATAGTGTAAAAAATATATATAGTGTAAAAATATATATATATATAGTGTAAGCATAAATATATTGTAAAAATAAATATAGCGTATATATATATATATATATATATATATATATATATATATATATATATATATATATATATAAAATTTTTCTTTCTTTAAAATAGTATTTAAATTTGATGCTAACAATTCACTATTACCCTAACTTAATCTATTTATTAAAATTTTTTAGAAAAAATGAAATTATCTGTGAATTTTATTTAAAAACAACCAGTATAGTTGAAGAGGGCCCTCCGATCATGCCGGCAATGAGGTCTAAAGTATCTATTTCTAAGCTTGCCAGAATTAACTTATTCTTAATTCAGACATACATAAACTACTTCGGATCGGATTGTTGCAAAACATATAAATTTAGCTTCCATAATTAAAAAAGAAAACTAAAACAGATTTTTATTTAAGGCATTAAAAATTATAACATCGACTAAGTTTATTTTATGACACAAATAACTAATGTAATATTATTTCTCTCATAAAACAATTTTGAATGATTTTAGAGTTATCCCTGGATAAAGAGTTTTCATTAAACGTTCTAATTTAATTTGCGATTTTATATCCGATTATTTTTACTACTAACTTTCTTTTTCCAACTTTCTTTTATTTGCTGCAGCTTCGTTTAAATGTGCGTCTACAGCTGTAAATAAAAAATAATTGAAAAAAATAGAAAAATGCTTTACTAAAAATCTCAAAAAAAAAAAAAAAAAAAAAAAAAAAATTAAAAATATAGTTTTTAAAATGTATATTTCATTTGATAATTGAAGCTTGGGAGAAAAAACTTATTTATCACCATCCTGACCCATTTGAAAAAGATAAGATTTTGAAAAATAAATAAAACTTAAATAAAAACTAAAATTCTAAATAATTAAACTCAATGTTTTATTATAAATCCAAAAATTTTGTCTCCAACTTTTAAGTGATTGTCTGTCTTTAAATTTGATAAAATTGACTGTCTTCAAATATAAAATAGTAATTATTACGATGAAAGTAACAGTTGACAGTAACAGTTGACAGTAACAATTGACACTAACAGTTGACTTGTAAAACTGTAAACAATTATTTACAGTTTTACAAATACTGTTTCAGGTAAAAAATTAGATTAATAAAAGATTTTAAGCATAAAAGGTTAGTTACAGTAAAAGTATGCAACTTTGCTGAATGACGAGTATTGCAAGATTGAGAATACGGTTAATGGGGCAAATGATGATAGGTTGCTTAAGCAGCGATCATGGTATTACACCAAACCAATCAATGATAAAATTAAGCTTGGGTGTTATAACAGATCCAACTAAATTTACTATGCGTTATTGAACCTTGTCTTAAAGAGAGGTTTTGAAGGTTCTGTTTAGAAGGTTCTGTTTAGAAGTATCAGAACGAATGTGATAACAGTACTTTATACAATGACAAATGAGAGATTTATTGATGTAAAAAATGAAACCAGGAGTAAGAAAATGGTGAGCACAATATAGAGGCATTCTAAGCAGGTGCTAACTTTCTAATAGATTGTATACATGTTTTCCATAAAAAGTTAGAAATGATTAATAATCTAAGAATATGTTAAATTTTTGTCAAATAATTTTAAAGAACAATGTCAAATAATTAGACAGTTCTTTAAAATTTTGTAAAAAGTATAAACCAGCCTGACCACTGGCAGTAATTGTAACCCCAAATGATAATTGCTGTACATTGCTTAATAGAAGGTGCAATATATTTGGGTGTGAAGCATGGGTTTGGTGGCCAGTAATCATCGAATTTTAACAGTTCAGTCGTTGTGTTCTTCGCATATCTAAATATGCAAAGAACACCACGGTTTGACTGTTATAAGTCAATGATTACTGAACACTAATCAATCAATCAAGTCAATCAAATACTTCTTTGAGAAAAACTTTTACACAGCGCCTAATGATAGAAGATCAAAATGATTGGATCATACGTGACTTTAATACATATAGAGTATATAATTAAAATATGCTATAATTATTGCCATAATAAGATGTTTTGTTAAACTTTATCAACTCCTAAATTATTTTCTTAATTCATAATGATCAATGAAAGTAATCAATGCATAGTGCACGAATAAGAAAAAATTAGCATTGATTTAACAATCTGATTTTTAAATTAGCATTGATCTAACAATCTGGTCTTTAAATTATTGAAGATTTATTGGAAACCTTTAACAGCAACTCAAGTGAAAAACAATAAACTTATTTATAAAATCAATAAAATATTAAAACAATATAAATTTGAAAAACTATACAATATTAGAATAATATATATTTAAAAAATTAATAAAACATTCAAACCTTCTTTAATGGAATCTAAACTTTTTTGCTGCTCAGTTGCAACACGTTTTTTTAATTCACTAAACTCGTGTTCCATTTCCTGTTGGCGTTGGGTTAGCTTTTGCACTTCTGTGTTGAAAATTGAAAAGTTTTCTAAATTAATGGTATTTTTCTTTTTCTTTTTCAGATTGCTCTTTGCTAAAAATAAAAATAAAAATGATGAAAAAATTATTAATAAAATGATAGATAAATTTATTTTAAATATAACTCAACTGTTCATCTGACTCATCATCAAACTCAAATGTTCATAAACTTTAATTTTTAATGTTCTTATACAGATTTATGGATATTTTGTGTTATTATGGAAATGTTGTGTGAAAAAGGAAAATTTTTTCATCATATTATCATCTTTATTAAAAGTCATAAGCAGACTATAAGTACCATTAGTAGTAGTTGCGCAGATAATGTAACTACTATCAATGCTGGTTGTACTTTGAAACAAAACAATGTTCAACATTGTAAAGTTGTATAACAATATTTAAATATGAAATAATTAAAATATGAAAACTAATTAAAAACTTAAATAATTACTGAGCCCTGCCTATTTAAAAAAGTGATTTAAATGCAGTACATATGTATGTATGTGTTAGTTTATAGTGTATTATTAATGGAATTACAAATGGAACCCCTATTACTGAACTATTGAGTATTATTTCATACCCTAATCAACAAGTTGTACGGCTCATACCCCAATCAACAAGTTGTATGGCTCATTGACTGCTAATGTTATTAAACTAACAAAACTATTGTGAAATTAAAGGAACAAAAATAAAAGCTTTTGCTAATAATATTAAAACAAAAACCATTTTGAAATATTAAGATATGAAAACAAAAAAAAAAAATTGTCTAATTAGTTTTTTTATGTTCTAATATCAAACTTGCTTTTACCACTTTTAATATGGAGAAATTAATTATTTTTTTTATTCAAAAAAAAAAATTAATTTCTCCATAAACAAAAAAACAACTTACAGAGAAACGCCGAAATATTGTCTACACTCGTCACAATATGATCAATGTGAATTTTAGAACTTTGATTTTCTTCATTTACTTGTCTAGAAGTGCTCTCATAATTGACTTCCTAAAAATTATATATGTATGTATTTGTATATATATATATATATATATATATATATATATATATATATATATATATATATATATATATATATATATATATATATATATATATATATATATATATATATATATATATATATATATATATATAAGGATGAGACTAAATTGAATGATGAGTAACACAAGAATGAATTTTAGTAGATGCCACAAGAGACGCTAACTCTTTAGAGCAGTGCACATTATAGTATTTATAGAAAAGAGAAAGAGAAGCAACATTACAACAATGTGACAACAGCTAATGGTTGGTTGCAAGAGCAAGTTCAACTATGTTTACAAGTCGTTTTTGCACTTTGTCTATGACAAAGTGCAAAAAAAAATATGACAACAGTACTCCATACAAGGATGGATTTGAGATTTATAGAGATAAAAAATAGAGTCTGGAGTAAGAAAGTGGTGAGCACAATAAAAAGATGCAACTTTAGCAGATGCTAATTTTACAATGGATTTGATATATGGCTTCCAAGAAAGATCAGAGGTGAGATCAAAGGTGAGTTAATCCTTAAAGACTAATAGTAGATGACTCATCAAGTACATTACTGTTTAAAAATATAGGAAGATCTACATTGTTGCGATAACGATTAGCTGAAAGAAATCAGAAAGTGTTGGTTTCTTATCAATACAAGAATAAATGTCAGTATCATCAGCGAACAGTGTCCACTTAGATGTGAGAATTTCTGGTAGATCATTAATGTAAATTAAAAAAAGTGTAGGGCTTAAGGATAGAACGTTTTATACTAAAATTGGTAAGTATGGATTCAATAATGTTAAAGATGTTACCCGATACACTGTAACAAGACAGCTTATTACACTGTAACAAGACAGCTTATTGAGAAGACCAGCATGCCAAACTTTATTTTGGTTTAGAAAAGCTTTGGAAATGTCGAGAGCAATAGTCTTAACCTCTCTAAAACTTATTACCATTAACAAATCAGCAGTAGAACAAAAAGATATATTGATGATCAGAAAGTAAGTTATTAGATTCAAGATGAGAGATTAAGTGTTTGTTTATTGAAGACTCAAAAACCTTGCTTATGATAGGATAAAGACTATTGAGACAGTAGTTAGACGTGTCAGATGCCTCTTCAGAATTTTTGAAAATAGGGATAACAGATGCCGTTTTCCAGCAGGCTGAAAAACAATACTTGGATAACGACTTGTAAAATAATTTTGAAAATATAGACAAACAAAATATAGCTCCGGAGAACACTTCTGCAAAACTATAACAGGTATGTTAATACAACCCTCGGAATTAGGGCTAGCATTCGGCACTGTTGACCTAGAAGTGTTTGAGGTCAGCAAAAAATCGCCGAACTTGTTTCTATGTTTTTTCTGCCAACCTGATTCTGACCTCACACAGATTAAGGTCAACAAATTATTATCAACCATATTTTTCCTAATCTAAGGGCTGTATATATGATTATATAAAATATATACAAATATAAGTATATTTATATATATATATATATATATATATATATATATATATATATATATACATATATATATATATATATATATATATATATATATATATATATATATATATATATATATATATATATGTATATAACTATAAATATCTACAGTATATATATTTATATATACATATAATATATATATAAATATATATTATATATATATATACATACATGTATATATTTATAGCCCTGTATATATATATATATATATATATATATATATGTATATATATATATATATATATATATATATATATATATATATATATATATATATATATACAGTGGCGGATTTAGTATAGGGCGTGGAGGGGCAAGCTGCCCCCCACGCCCCCTTAGAACGGTCTAACGGCGCCCCCTAAAACAATTAATATATATATATATATATATATATATATATATATATATATATATATATATATAAGATTAAATTACTGAAGGCAACCCCGGTCACCCCTATTTATTGACTTGGCCCCCCCGCGACACTAAACCTCAATCCGCCACTGTATATATATATATATATATATATATATATATATATATATATATATATATAGGGCTCAAATTAAGCGTATCACGGTCGCGAATCACGATTGCTTTTTACACTTTTGCGATTAGTTTTTTCTTAAAACATATTTTCGCGATTGGTTTACTTTTTTAGCAGTTTATTTACTATTTTTCTAATTAAGCTTTTTTTTTTGACTACTCTTAAAAGTAATGTTTTCATAGTAAAGTACGCAAAATTTACGTCACGCAAAGTTTATCTTGAATTTTTATTCACGATGCATGATCTTGCGCCCATTATCTTGCTCTTTCGCACGGAAATTTTTACTCAACGCACTTTTAAATTAAATTACTTTAAATCTCTGCGTAGAAGCAAATTAAAAAGACATAAGTTAAAAAGAATTTTTCTTCATTCTATTTTTTTTAACAAAACATTTTTATCTTTTTTTAAAAAAAGCGTTGCTCCAAATTAACTTATTAATAATGATTTAAATTATTATTTTATAAACAATTTTATATCATTATTTTTAATACTTTAAGTATAATAAAATATATATTAATTCGTTTTTATTAAATAAAATTTCTATTAGTAAAATTGTACTAATAGAAACCAGCAACTTTTTTGATTTCACGTTTTTCGTTTTTAACGACCTTGAAACTATTGAAGTTATATTTTGTTAACTTTACTGAATGGATAGACTATATCACAGTAAATGAACTTATAACCTAAATCAAAACAACCAGTTAAGATAGTCATTTACAGTTACTTAAGTATTAATTTAACAATTATATTAATTTATTTAATATAATTGTAAAAGTTACCCATAGACATGTTTTAATTCAGATCTTACACGTTGTTAACACATAATATAAGCTTTTAACTAATAATTTTTTTAACAAAAATTGTCGAATAGAATATGAAAAATGCGACACCATTTTTTTATATTTTCATTTTATTTATAGTGACATCTAGACTAAACATTTTCTATAAATACGCAAGTTGTTTTCGAGAATTTTATTTAAAAAGAAATCTATTTGAACAAGAAAACTTTAGCCTTAAAATTCACTTATTCAAATAATTTTGTGATTGAAATTTGAAATTGAAAAAAAAATTTAAAAGTTGAAAAAAAGTTTGAAGAAACAAGGGAGAATGAAGAAAGTTTTTTTTTTCGTAAATCGTAAATTTTGTTAACGTTTTGAATAGTATATTTTTTCTTAAGTATAGTTTTAAAAGTAGAAACATTCTATTGCAAACATCAAAGCAGTAATTGCAAATTGCAAGTTAAAATAAAAATTATAAAAAATTTAAATGAAATTTAATAAATTATTTTACTTCTGTTCAAACTTTTTTTTTCTAAAAAAATAATTTAAGCATATTCTTATACTTAATATAATTCGATTTATTAAACAAAATTTTTTGTTTCACTTTTTTTTGGAAAACAATTAGAACAAAAAAAAAATTGAATGTAAACATCAGTTTAAAAACCATTTGAATGAAAAACTTAATTATATTTAAATTTTTAATAGTACGCTTGATCAAGAAACGATAATTTATAAAAGATGTGGTATCTAATGTTTTTTTGCTTCGTTTGGTCTATAGATTATAAACTCGTATAGGTCTATAGGCGCAAATATAAAGTTTTATTTTAGTTTATTAACTAGCTAGTTAATAAACTAAAACAAAACTTCATATTTGCGCCTATAGACCTATTTGCGCCTATAGACCTAATTGATCTAGCTAGATCAATTTTATTTATTTGCTTCATTTTATTTTAAACGCGCTTTATTTTATAAATCAACACGAAAAGTGTCACGAATCTGTTTTACATTAACCCAGTTATTTTTAAAACAACTTTGAAGTTTGTTTTAAGCTTTTATAGCTTTTAACAATTAAAATTAACACGTGTTTTAATGTCAGCATGAACGTATTAAATAGTTTTCTTTGACTAATTAAAGTGGTTTAGATATTGTAATGTTGTTTTTTCTTTTACTTTTTTACTTTTACTTTTTTAAGTATCATGTTAAGTAAAAATATTCTTAAAGAAATATCTTAATAGTATTAAAAACGTTATTGCTTATTACAACTGCAACTTAAACTTTAAGTTAAACTTAAGTTGTAAATAATAACAGTAACTTACGCTATTTTAAACTCTGCCAAACAAGAAAATTATAAGATTATATTTAAATATGAGAGATAATATATATATATATATATATATATATATATATATATATATATATATATATATATATATATATATATACTAATGAACAAAATTTTAATATTAAAAACCTAAAAAAGCAGAAATAGAGGCATATATAGACAATTATAAAAATATTAAATATTTAAAAAAAGTTAACAACTTGAAAAATGGTAACTATTATGTGCAAGAAGATTTCTTACAAATGTTCAAATGTGAATTTTTATCTCTCCTGGTTTGAAAATTGGATTCATAAACTTAGGATTAGTTGAAAGATAAAGTGTCAGAACAACAACCATCATTTGGCCCAGAGTTGATAAAAAAAGTGAAGCTAGAGTGATAAAAGAAGTCTGGATTAAGAAAATATTGAAGGAATATTGCTAAGGTCTAATAAAAGTATACCCAGGTGCATGGCGGCATTGATCATGAACAAAAGAGGACAAACAAAATATTGAATTTTGGACAACTGAATGATCAGAAAATGCATCATAGCAACAAATTTTCCATGTTATAAAATTTTATTAAGAATGATAGTAATTTTCATGTTTAAATGCAATGATATTGGCCTCAAAAAAATGATCCTAATATTTTCATTTTATTTAGAACTTGGTTGCTGTAAATATGTTGGCACATTTTTATGGTATGCTAAACATAAAGCAAAGATCTAGGACAATAAAATATAGACCATTAGTGTTTAATAAAATTGAAATAAGAAAACCACTAATAAAAAATTACTTGCTGTTTACAAGAAAAATAAG